TTGGTGACGAATCTGGGACAGATGGGGATAAATGCAGGGATCTGAGTTAATCCTGGGGTTGATAATGAAGCCAGGAGCCAGGGAGAGATGAGGGGAAGTTAGAGCTCCTGCTGTGGGGAGGGAGGCCGGTGCTGGATGTCCCCCACCCAGAGTCAGAGGCCTGGGAAGGTTTCCTGTGCAGCACCGGCCGTGGGCCTTCGCTTCCCGTGGCTTGATCTGGGTGTCCAAGACACAGGCTGATGGCTGGCAGGAGGAGACAGAAGGTGATTCCTTCAATGTATCGAAGGTTTGTCTCTGCTTGGAAATAGCACTGCACTGGGGTCAGAGACCCCTATTCAGCTGGGTTGAAGTTCAGGCTGGTGTGGGTGGTACTGGGACCTGTGGTCCCCTCCTCAGAGGCTCTGTGGAGTGACACCATCATAGTGGGAGACACCTACTGCCCACTCCTTGAGCTGACCATGCTAAGGGCCTCACTCATGTACTCTGGTCCACAGTCAGATCGCCCTGACTGGTTCATTCCACCTGGGACACTGCCTGTTAACTTGCACAAGGGCACACAGCCGACAGAGAGCCGGAACCCACGCTGGAACCAGCTTGAAGATCTGAGCCTGGTCTCACTGCTCCCAGCCTGCGCCTCAAGGATCCAGACGTGGCTGATGGGTGCCCAAGCACTGTTTTAGCGCTGCAGGAGCGGAAGCGCCCGCACATCTCTGGTTGGCAATACAGAGAGTAAAAGCAGGGGCTACACTGTAGTTGGGGTCTGCACCCCTATCATGTGTGATCAGATGTTTCACCACCTTCTCTAAAACTTACCACAATCACTGCTGAATCACTGACTGGGGACTTCCTAGGTTAATGTCATTTACCCTGCTAGATGGTAGGTTCTTCAAAACAACAAATGTTTTACTCATTCCTATATTTCTGGTGCTGGGGAGAGGGGTAGGCACCTAGGGTTGCTCAGTATTTAAACATGAATGGGTAAATCAGTAGTGAATGAGTGCTTGGGAGTGAGTGAATGAATGAACGTGTGAGTTAATGTATGAGTTAGCAAATGAATAAATTAGTGAATGAGTGAACCAATGAGTGTGTGAATGAGTCCAAGCATAAGGGAAGGAATGAATGAGTGAATTAATGATTGTGTGAGCAGACACGCCAGTGACTGAGTGAATGAGGGACTGAGTGGGGTGCAGCTGGGGGCCGGGCTCCTCTGTGCTGGGAGCAGAGGTCCAGGCTGCACTAAAACAGCCAGCAGGCTGTGTGTGTCACATGATGGCCGGGCTGCCAGGGCCCACCGGCAGCCAGGTGGTTCCGGTCACCTGGTAGTGAAGTCATGTACCTGGCAGAGGACGCCTTGTGGCGAAGAGTTCAAGAATCAAAACATTCTTTAGTTTCCTTTTCTCCTCTTTCATCTTTCTCACCATCTGGGTTCAGAGTATTTCCATGCTGGTGGCCAAGGCTGGAGATCTTTCCAGCTGGGAATGGAGAGACCGCTCCTAACCCACAGGGTGTGTGCAGGTTATGCCCCATGAGAGGGTGGACTGTGAGCGCTCCAGTGAGGCAGGGATGTCTCCTTGTGCCGGTGCCAGGAGTGACCTTGTGCTATAGAACCAGCTCCTTTGAGCTGAAGGTGCCTTTCTTATCTGCTGAGAGCCACCATCTCCAGCAAGAAAGCTTGAGGGACTAGAGGTGACACAGCACATGTAAACCTACAGCATAGACTTCTCCTCTATTCCCTTAATCCAGCAGATGCTTCCATCATTACTATGGAAACAGAACTGTTCCTGAGGTTTCTCTGGATATAAATTAGTCAGGAGAGATGGTGTCTTTGCTGCTAGGTTTCCAAGAACAGGAGCAAAGAACTCCCTAAGGGAGGTGCTTGGGGAGTGGGGGGGCTTTTCAGTTTTCTATTGAATGTCTGAGCCTAGAAGTTTCCTGGAACTCATGGGATTAAATCCTAGAGTTGCTGAAGCCCAGAAGGGAAAGGACTGGCCCCAGGTCATGCAGCAGCCAGTGGGCGAGTCTGTCCTGAGGGAATCACTGTACCACCTGCCCAGAGCAGGAGCGTATCGCTTGGGTGTTCTGGTCCTCATCCTTTGAGAGGGTTGCTGCAACAGGGATCTTTAGTTCAGATGTGAAGCTGGCAGAGGGAATGTGGTCACTCAGGGTCTCACAGCACATGAGGGCAGCGGGATAAGTGGGCAGAGGTGTGTGGCGTGAGGTGGGAGATGCCAGAGATGCTGAGGCTTCCTCCTTTGAGTCTGCCTGTATCTGGCAATGACTCTTGCTGTGACCTCCAGCAAGTTCTTTCCATTCTCTGGCCTCAGTGTCCCTATCTGAAAGGAGTGAGTGAGCACCATGGCATCTCCTCTCTAGGATGACTGTGGAGACAAAGAGAAGTCCCAGAGTGTAAAGCCCATAGAACAGGGCCCGGCATAGAGTAAGTGCTCAGTAGTTAATGTTGGCCACCTACTTACTGGTCACTCTTGGCAGGGCGAGAGTACAGTACCCCATAGAGGCTGAGCGCCTGGGAACGTGAGATGTGTGACCTTCAGCAGCACCACTGACCAACACAATGCACAGAGACACACATGGTTCTGGTGTACATGGCTTGGTCCAAAGCAGGATATAAGTCAGAGGTGTCTATAAACAAGGGCTTCGTGCTGAGCACCAGGACTGGGTCACAAGTGTGTTCAAGCTCCTTTCTTCCAGGGCCCACTTGCAAACAGTCAACACCGGATACAGAGGACAACTCCTTCCTTGTCATGAGAAGCCTCCAAGCAAAGAGAATCCTCTCCTCTCATCCCTGGGGAAACATCAGCTCCAGTAGAAATGGCACACACCATTGGTTGGAATTGCATCTCAAGCCCTGACCAGCTGTGCGAGCTAGGGAATCATCTGCCCTTTCTGTCTTTTAGTTTGGGCATCTCAAAGAATTTACTGGAATTCTTCCTGGGGCTAGGCTGTGTTTTACTTCTAGTACAAAGCTTGACACCAAATGGGTGTGTTAACAAGCACAAGCAAATGAGTGACCATGAGTAGCCGCGTACATCAAAGGGTGAAGGAGGAGCTGGATTGCTCTAAACAATTGCTATGCCGGTTCATTCTTCTCCATCCTGCGAGAGAGCAACACAAGTCCCATTCCACATGTGAGCAAAGTAAGGCTGAAGAGAAACTAAATCCTTTGTCCAAGATCACCTCGTAAGTGACCCAGACAGGATTCGAACTTGGCTAGCTTGAAAGCAGAGCCTGAGCTTATAACCCCAGGATCCAAGTGGACAGAAAGAGAAGAAAAAAAAGACGCAAATGGCCTCATCATCAAGTGACTGACATGTATCCCCATGACTGGATCTGCATGACCAAGGCTCTAATTAAAAGCAGAGATAGCACATTGGAACAGCTCTGTCTCCACTCTGTGGCATCTCAGGGTTGCAGAGTCACGAGGAGGGGCCCCATCCAAGGGAGGAGCTCAGAAGGCCCAGAACTATTGCAGACTTGCCGGAGAACATCCAGCAGAGGTTACATCAGCGCCCCCAGACCAAAGCCCATCCTCCATGAATTGGCAGTTTGTACCGCATTTTAAAAACAAAATCTGAGTTGGCTTCTAACATTTAACACTTGAGAGATTTCACATCAAAATCCAGATTCCTGGTGTAGACAAGAAAGGTATGTTGTGTAGCCATATGCTGACCCACTTTTTATTGTACATTTCTGGCCTGAACCCTGAGGTTTGAGTGTGAGACCAGGTATGTAGAGATCAGCGGGGTGCTGGTGGAAGGGAGGGGTGCAGTTGTGTTGGCTGGAGGTGCAGTTGGAGGCCGGGTCCTGGGAGGTTTTCTCGTCTTGCTTGGATAGAGATGATTCACAGGCCAGCATGTGTCTTTGGCAAAACCAGCTTTTTTTTCCTGCTTTGTTTATATAGAACAGAAATAGAAGTTTCTAGAATATGGTGCAGCTCCACCCAGCATCCACAGGCCTTGGGAAACTGCCACTGTGAGAATCTAGCAAACAGCTTAGTGAGGAGCCTGCTGTTGTTCATGGAGAGAGCAGTGTGTGTTCATGACCACGGTGGTGGCTTTACCTGGGGGCAGAGACACTCCACTGGGAACCACCTTCCTGAAACTATCAAAGGGGCAAGGGCTTCAGGGAACAGAGAGGGCAGGAGATCAAGGGACATAGCCTGGGTTCTACAGCTAACTCATCTATCCATCCCTCCATCCCTCCATCCATCCATCCATCCATCCATCCATCCCACCATCCATCTACCCATCCATCCATTCATCCACCTACCCACCCATCCATCCACCCATCCATCCACTCACCCACCCTCCCATTCATCCATCCACCCACCCTCCCATCCATCCATCCATCCATCCATCCATCCATCCATCCACCCACCCTCCCATCCATCCATCCATCCATCCATCCATCCATCCAACCACCCACCCTCCCATCCATCCATCCATCCACCCTCCCATCCATCCATCCATCCAACCACCCACCCTCCCATCCATCCATCCATCCATCCACCCTCCCATCCATCCATCCATCCATCCATCCAACCACCCACCCTCCCATCCATCCATCCATCCATCCATCCATCCAACCACCCACCCTCCCATCCATCCATCCATCCACCCTCCCATCCATCCATCCATCCATCCAACCACCCACCCTCCCATCCATCCATCCATCCACCCTCCCATCCATCCATCCATCCATCCATCCAACCACCCACCCTCCCATCCATCCATCCATCCATCCATCCATCCATCCAACCACCCACCCTCCCATCCATCCATCCATCCATCCATCCAACCACCCACCCTCCCATCCATCCATCCATCCATCCACCCTCCCATCCATCCATCCATCCATCCATCCAACCACCCACCCATCCATCCATCCATCCATCCATTAGTTCACAACTTCCTCTTTTTTCCTTTTTCTTTTCCACTTTTCCACTCATCTGTCTTTACATTCTGTTGTACAAGAAAAATAAATTCAAAAGATTTATTTTTCAGACTGTAGTTAATAACAGTGTATCTTATTCTTGTAAATTGCTAAGAGAATAGATTCAAGTGTTTTCACTACAAATAAGTGATTCCTATTGAAGTATTACATAAATCCACTAGCTTGATTTCATGTTATCTCAAGATATCATGTTGTATATCATAAATATGTACAAATATTACCTGTGAAAATGATAATAAGAAAAAATAGGCATACATATGATTGGGAGAGAAAGAGAGAGAGAGAGAGAGAGAGAGAGAGAGAGAGAGAGAGAGAGAGAAGATGCAGAGGGAGAGAGAGAAAAAATAAAATATCAATTATGGGAAGAAAGAAAAGGTCATTGCAAGAAGTTGGGAGAGTATTTTGAATGGGAAATTCAGGCTTTCTTGGGCATCCAGAGAAAAATTCTCTGAAAATGGGCCATTTGACCTGGCACAGGAGGAATGAAGGGGGGGGTGTCACAGTGATGCAAGCAGAGGAAAAGGCACCGACTCTTCTGGGCACCGTGAGGGTCCGTGGGACTCAGATCCATCCCTCCTCTGTCTGGACCTCAAATGCTACCCTCTGGGGAATGGCACAAAACATCTTCCACCCCAGAGTCTAGAGAACTGGGAAACGCCAAGGCCACACCCACATCTGGGCTGCGGTGACCTCTCCCTGTGTGAGTCGCTTCCTTGGGCCCCTGCCCGCCTCCTCCTGCTCCTCTTCAAAGATGAACTAGACAGCACGGCTCAGCCCTGTGCAATCATGGAGAAAAGAGGCAAGAAAATGTAGTGTAAATCAAAGCTCAGGGCACCACACTCCGCAGCTCCCTGAGGGACAATCGTCACCTTCACCTTTCTCCTCATCACAGGAAGCGGTGACTCAGGAGGTCAATGCAGTGCGTGTGCCCAGGACAGCGGCCAGCAGCTGTCTTAAGGTATGGAATATCAGGACTAAGGGCAGGTTTTCCCTGAGGGCTAATCCTGCTGGCAGTCTGCACAGAAAACCCCACTCTACTCTCCAGACAAGTGTAAGAGAGTCACTTCCTGGCTGTTGATCCCTTTCAGGAGGTGAGGTCCTGGGGATCAGAGAAGTCCAGTCCCTTGCTCAGGTCTGCACAGCTCCTGAGTGCTGGGGTAGGAATCTGAATCTGGACTACCTCCCTGAGCCCACAGTTAGTGTTTTTAACCACCAACCCACTTTGCTGCCTGACGCCTAAGGGCCCTGTCTCCCACTTCGCCTTGTATACTGCATCCACAAAGAAGGATACCTGGAAGAGGAGCCCTGCAGGTGGAGCCCTGGAGGACGCCTGGGCTTGAAATCCTCCCTCTAAGAGAAATTAGCTGTCCTCCACAAGATTTCCTCAAGAATACAGGACCCTGGAGACATTAAAAAGAAACTCATAAAAGATTCATCTCTGAGTAGTAATTGCATCGTAAAAAGTATGAGTTGGAAGAGCACATGCAAATGGGGCCGTGCAAATTAATGATGTAAACAGTGGGAACGAGGGTGCATATTCAGAGGCTGTGCACACATATTGTCCTGCACCACCTTCTTCGGCATGCCGGCCAAAGCAGCCTGGCAGCAGTGTGTCCTGAGGCTCAGGAGACCGCTTCAGACTGTCCTCAGCCACCACCTCCCAAACCCAGCTCCGCGTCCCTTCTTAGGCACCTCCTGGAGACTCCGATGTAGTTGTTGCTGTCTTGCTGTCAACATGCTCTGAGCACCTGCTGTGTGCTGGGGTTCATGCTCTGGTTTCTGCTCCACAGTCCTACCTGCCTCTACTCTGATCTCCACACATGCGAACCTGCTGAATCCAGAGAATGAGGATGGACATCCATGAACTGGAGGGTCCACAAGGCTTGGTAGGATGGCTCGGGACAAATTCCACTGTGGACTGACTGGGGCTGGATCTCAGCTCTCAGGGTCAGACTCAGAAACAGGGAAGACTCCCCGCTGGAAGGAGGGTGGCAGGGGAGGGAGGCCCTGGTGCAGTGGGCTGCAGGCTGGCACTCCAGAGAGGAGGAGGCCGATGCAGATGCTGGGAAGGACTAGGACGAGGGTGAGCTGAGTCAGCCCACGCTAGGGAATCACAGGCATGCATGTGGTTCAGATGGAACTGATGGTGGCCTGGCAAAGCCCTGGAGACGGGGCAGGACATTCTGGAATCAAAGCTATCACTCTAATTTGTAGTAAAAGCCACTTTTACTCCTCCACAAGCACTCTGATTCTTTGTCCTGCAAGAGTTGGGACCTGCTGCGGATGGGTCTCTCCAAAAGAGAACTCTTTTATAACCTCCCTTCATTTTCAGGGTGGGTTTTCTGGGAGCCTGAGGTGCTGTGCCCGTGTTTCCAGCTACATCACAGTGGGGGGAAGATGTGAGAAGACTTCGGCACACAATGTTCTGGAATGCGCCTCTGCGTCAGCTCCTCTGCTGTATTTCATTGCACTTTGGAGTTCTATATATAACTTGATATGAAAAGTGGTTCCTATTGCTTGAATAAGAAAACGCCACTTAGGATGGGCAGGGACCGAGTCTGAGGGTGGGAGGAGGAGGAAGGGAAGGGGATATAAAAAGACCCAAGATGCGTCACGTACGTGACTCTCCGCGAATGGAATCTTTGTGTGTCACAAACATGAACTGGAAATAATGATAACAGCACTAAGATAATAATAGAAAAGGGGCTCTAGAGACGGAGGAAGGGAGGGAGTGGGAAAGGGGATAAAAAGAATCGAGGTATACATAACCACCCTCAAAGGTGACTATAGACACCGTGTGGTCCAGACATATACAAATAAATAAAAAGAAAACCCCATTCAATCCAGAGAAGAGTCCAAAGTCTTGGAGTTGATGTTCAAGGCCCCGGAAGGTCCAGACCAATCCCACTTCCCTGGTTCCATTAAGTGTCCACACCTTGGCCTCGAAGAGACTCGCACCCAGCCTTAGGCCAAATGCATTCCTAGCCAGCCTCAGACCCGCAGCTCTCCATGTCTCTGTCCCTGCAGGTGCCTGTTCCCAGAGCTGTCCCTTTGCTCCCCGCCACCACCAAGTGTCTCCAACTTTGCCACACACCATGATGCTCCCCAAGAATGTTGAGCCACCCAGAGAGAGGACAATGAGTTCTTTCTGCGGAGCCATCACGTCCCTCAGGACTGCAGGTTCCAGGAGAGCAGGATCTGGACTTGGTCATCAGCAGGGTCCAGTGCCATGCCTGACTCAGGCAGATCCCCAAGAAATGACTGCCTTGGGTGTCAGGAAAGGATGGGATGGGAGTGTGTGGGTGAATCAGTTAAAGATGGGTAGGTGGATGGATGAGAGGATGGAAGGAAGGGGCTGCTGGTGGGTGAACACGTGGATGATGGGTGGATAAGCAGGAGGGAAGGAAGGAGAGAGGGAGGAAGGAAAAGAAAGAGAAAAGGGGAAGATGAAGGGGAGGCAAACCCTTTCTCATGCCGCAGGCTCTGGGTGCCCTGCAGCTGGAGGCCTTCGCCTGCCCACGGCCTCTCACCCGTCTCTCCCCACTCCCTCCCGTCCTCCATCACAAAGCCAGCCCTTGACATGCCCTCGCCTGAACAGCGATCCTTGAGCAGCCTCCCGTAGCCTGTTCCTGCTCTTCCTACAAGCAGAGAAGCAGAAAAATCCATCCTGATGAGGAGGCAGCTGCCCGCCACCCTGCCCCTCCTCCCCAGCCCGCAGCCTGTAACTCTCAACCAGTCAGGCGGAAACACAGTCAATTTTTTCCAGGGTCGAGCGCCCGGCTGGAAGGCACAGCCCTGTGGGGTGACAGGCGAGGCTGGGGTTGTTTCTCCTCCATCCTCCCACCTCATGCGTCTGGTCGCTGCCAGTTGTGACACTGGAGGGGGGGCATAGCCCTTGCACTGCCATCACCATGCAAGGTGCTCCCCTAAGACCTCATCCCTTCAAACATGGCAGGGTGCTCCTTCTGCCCCCACCTGCCTGCCTGCTCACCTGGACACAGCCCCTTCCACCCACCTGCCCTCGGTGACTCAACTGTAGGCTCCAGGCAGAGGAAAGTGCAACTGATGCACTTGTGCCCAACCAAGGATCGAGGGGCTCTTCGCTGGGTGAGGTGATGCGGCCTCAAATAGCTCTCTAGTTAGTGCGGGGTGTGGAGGGCAAGAGCTCCAGCCCCCTGCTCACAGCAGCTGCCCTCAGATGCAGGGCTCAAGCCCCCTTCTGGCAACCACTGCCCTGGCTCCCAATCTCTAGGCAGGGGACTAGAACCATCTCAGCCCCTGAGGGACCAGCTGGGGTCCCTGGTGCACCCAGGCCACATCCCAGCTTCTCTCTCTGTTAATTCTACTTCTTTTTCTCTCCCTGCGAGTTTAGAGCCTGAAGGGACGCCCATGGCACCCCGAGGACCCCTCGTGCTGCTCACGGGTCTCAGTCTACAGGTCTGCATCCAGGGAGCCCACCCGCCCCAGCTTGGTTCCCTTGCTTATGCCACCACCACGACAGTGCTGCCCAGCACGGTCCTTGTTGCCAGTGTCAGCCACCCGAGGCCCTGAGAGGTGACAGGTTGTCCCAGGTCAGTCCCCGAGCATGTCAGGTCTGGGACTCATCCCCAGACTATCTGACTTGGTTAGCTGAGGATCCACTGTACAGCGTCTGTTCCCCACTCGATGGAGACTTGTGACTCCTCGCTGGCTGCACAGAGCCTCCCTGCTGGTCTCCAGACTGGAGGATCTACTTCCTGGCCTCACTACAGACTTGCGCCTCCTTCCACTGCTGCCTCAACCACATCCCAGGGACCCTGCTGTGTCGCAGGAGGCTGGACACATCTGGCTTTAGTCCTGGTCTCTTAGCATCACTTTATTCCCAGCCCAGGCTCAGTTCTCTCATCTTTCAAATGGGTCATTTCAAGGACAACATGAAATGCCATGTGCAGAAGATTTGGCCCAGGGCTGGGCACATGCTGGCTTCTGAGTAACTCTTACTTTCTCTCTGTATCGCTAGAGACAATGTCTAATCTGATGCAGACCACCTTGCTAGGCACGACGTAAAGTCATTAAATCATATCACTATCAAATCCCTGCGTCGACTCTAGGAAGCCCCTCAGTCAGTCCCATTTCCCAGATAAGAATGGGGAGATGACAGTGGACGCACAGGTCTCACACGAGGAGGAGGAGCAGTTGGGACCTGAACCCCTCTGCAGTTCCAAAGCTTGGGGCCTGGCCTCGGCCTCTCCTTCTCACTCTGGTTTTCTTGTACCCTCAGCTCCTGGGCCTCTGTCCTGGGCTGTCTGGTGTCCCCCAAGTCTTGCCACTGGGGTTGCTACGGCTTAGAATCATGTTTCCAGTGCCCTGCAGAGACAATCTGTGGAAATCATGTGCCCCGGGGATCAAGTTGCTCATGAATTTGACCTAATGACAAAAGCCTGTTCCTGGTCAGGGAGCTTCCTCATGTCACCACCGAATCTTCTCACCAGTTCTGTCTCCCAGGGGAAACCATTTGCGGCTTTGATGTCATCCAGTCACAGGGGAGGTGCTACACTGGCCCTGGCGGTGGCCTTAACTCTGTAACTAAACATCTGTGACTATCCATAAAGAAAACCAGAGCATGTGGTCACTGGTCACAAGGCCACAGGGACAACCACGGTGAGGGCTGGGCTCTGGGATATATCACGAGTCTCCTCTTGTGACCGTCCCAGGACCAGTTCTGACCAGGAGGCAGCCAGCCCCAAATTCCAATCCTGCATCTTTCAGAGACTGGTCGGTTCCCGTGGCCTCCCTCCTCTTGCCTAGGTTTGCTCTCTGAGTACAGAGCAGACAGCTCCTCTGTAGCATTCATGAAGCTATGGAATGCGATCAGCCCTACTTAGCTGAAGGACCCCTCCTACCCCTGTAAAGCTTGGAAGACGCCAGGCTATGATTGATTGTACTTGCAGTGGAAGGAGATGGGGTGGGGGCCATGTGGGAACCCCGGAAAGCCCAGACCAAACCTCAACGGGTATCCCCCAAATGCTGCTGCCCAGCTCCATCAGGATGGCACAGTTAGACCTTTGGACAGGCTCCTTCTTCGCCTCCTCTCTGGCCAACTCAAAAATTGCTGGATTTACCAAGTAGATTACATGGCACTTAGCTAATGAAGTGACACCCCCCACACCCCAAGATATCGATCAGCCCCTGGCAACCATGCAGCTTGCAGACAGTTGAAAAAGAAAATCAACCATTAATAAAATTGCATGGTGGGGAGAGGGGGGTGAATGGGGTGGAGGAGGAGGGGCTGGAGGATGGAGGCGAAGTTAACAGCTGAGGAATAAGCAAAACACCAAGAAATAGGGGCCCTTCTGAGCCACAGCAGCATAAAAAATGAGAGGAGGTTTTGCAGCAAGCCGGGCCCATGAGAGAGCCCCTGCCAGGTATGTGACTAGCAAGGGACAGTGGGAGACTCCAGGCCACAGATGACAAAGGTCACAAATGCCGGACTGTCCACGGGTGTTTTCTTTGCTCCCATATGTGGTTTATTTAAAAGAAATTTGCTGCCAGTATTCTTCTTTTTAAAAAATAGGGCTTTTCGTATAAAAATCTAGATTGTTGGGATTTCTTGGGAAATTGGAGCCCATTCTGACTCAGGAGGGGGGCTTGCATTCTTCTGTGGCAGGGCCCGAGCAGAGGGACACCAGCTGGCCCTGGAGCTAGGGCATGTGGCATCCAGCTTGCCCAGTTCCCCTGCAGCCCTCATGCACACGCCTATGACCTCCCAGGGCCTTTGAGCTGGAGACTATGATCACGAGTCTGAAGTATGGCAAAAATGTGTCCATGGGGATGGAGACGGTGTGTGTGTGTGTGTGTGTGTGTGTGTGTGTGTGTGTGTGTGTGAGAGAGAGAGAGAGAGAGAGAGAGAGAGAGAGAGAGAGATGCACACAGCCCCGTGCACACACACATACACAGACGCGATAAACACATGCCAGAATGGTAACAGTGGTTACTTTTCCCCAAGTGAGACTTTATCTTCTTGTCCTTGTTGTGCTTCAGATTCCCATCAGTAGAAAACAATAGACTGGCTTTAGGAAAAAAAAAATCAATCTCTGCAGCGCGTTCTTCTGTTCATCACCATGATAGTCCTAGTACCAAGCAGGAAAATGCCACAACGCCAAGCTGTGACTATGTCTAAAGAGGGGACTGTGGCCAGCCCATCACCTGTGTTTCCTGCCACACAGTCCCTTCACATTTCCATGGGGGGCACCGCACACCAGGCGTGTGGCAGGTGAGGAAAAGCACGATCCCCCACGTCTTGCTGAGAGGCCTCAGGCATGGTCAGTAGTGACGTTGGGCCACCCCTCACCCCTTCTCTCCACCTGGTACTGGAGCAAATTCTAGCAGAGGCGGCAGCCTGGCAGCCTGGCATCCTACCCTGGACCTGTGGAATACCAAGGGGCATCATGTCAGTGGTTCCAGCGCCAAGTACTGATGGGCATGCCCATACTTATGTGCTATTTGAAAAACGTAGGAGACCATAAACTGGGCTCTCCACTCAGTCGCTTCCTCCCCAAGTGACCTTGTGCGGGTGAATTAAACTCTCTAAGCCTGTTTACTCTTTGTGCTAGAAAATGAGGTCCAGTCCACCTCCTAGGGTGGGAGGGAGGATTCAGTGAGGGAAAAAAATTGTGTGCCGAACTCTGTGCCTAGCAGAGAGCAGACAGTCAAAAGACATGCCCTGTTATTTACGCCATTACTCTCCATGCTACTGAAACCACCTACTGTGTGCCAGGCACCATGGAACTTTTCTCAGCCAGTCAACTTCCACAGCTCCCCGGGGAGCTCAGCGTCACTGCGCCTCACTTTAGAAACAGGAAGTTGGGTCTCAGTGAGGGGAAGGGGTCTGATCTGTGTAACTCACAGAGGACTCACCTTGTTTACCATGATGACCCCGCCAGGAGGCTCTGCTCTATGTATTCTTCAAGCTGAAATCAGGTGAACACACACTGTGTGCCAGTTCTCATCATGCCAGTCTCTCACCTAATTGCCAGGTGTGAAATTCAGAGCAAGAGTTTTAAAAACAGCCGCCAGACTCATGTTCCTCATCCACCTTATGAGGTGGTTTAAGCCAGTACCTTTACCTCCAGGCCTCAGTTTTATTGTCTGTCAAATGGGTATGCTGACTGGAGCCCTGAGTCACAAGATGGTTAACCTGCACAAGTAAGAGCTCCACGAGACAGAAGCAGTAATCAATAATGATATAATTACTCCCACTTTACAGATAAGGAAAGCTGTTACCCTGCCTCTTCAACATTCGCTCATTCACCCACTTGTCCCTTCACTCATTCATTTATCCATCCATCCTTCTGCTAGCGCAGTGAAAGAGCTCGGCCATGCACCCAGAGCCCAAAAATGTCAGTGCCCCAGAAACCCGTGTGCAGGAGAGAAGCAGCGAGCAGCTCCCCACCCCAGGCCTCCTCCTGTCTCTGCCGGGGAAGCAGCTGCAGCCAGACATTTGGAAGCCATTACAAACATCCCCGTCTGATTCTATTTCCCCTGTGTGCAACTTAAAGCAGTGGATTCCAAGGAATTTTGGCTGAGTTCCTTGGCAGAGGGAGCCCCACAGGAATGGCGAGGGAGCCTCCCCAGGCGCCCCATCCACAAACAGCCTCTCCATCGCAGAGAGCTCGCAGCAATGGTCGGGAAACCGCAGAGCTTGGGGGAAGAGATCTGAGATTCAGCACCCGAGAGAGAGACTTGGACCTCAGCCCAGGCTTGGTCTCTTCCAGATGGAGTTACTGGCCTGGGCCTCAGTTTCCCTTTCTGTGTAATGGGAGTCATCGTAGTAAACATATGCCTATCCTAGAGCTGAAATATCTACTTCCTCTCAAGTTTGCTTTTCAGTAAAGTCAAGAAGGGAAGAAATTGCATCAGAGAAGATCCTAACCCTACAGTTAACCCACTGGCGTGCCAGGTACCCTTAACAAAGTCACCTCGCCTCTTTGTGCCTCAGTTTCCCCAAGCTTTGACCTCTCATACTCCCACCTTCCCTACATGGCTGGTGCTGGGGCTGCAGCCACTCTCATAGCAGGACCCCAGCCCCTCCCTGTGCAGTGCCCCTTCCAGGGCCCATCGCCACCGGGTGTCCTGACATCTCTCAGGTCTTTGTCTATACCCGGCAAGGCCATGGTCTGCCCGGCTCCTCTCATCCCAGCCTCCCTTCTCTGCCCACCTTCCCTGCTCTGCTCCTCCTCTCCACGCTGCATCGGCCAGGATCCTGAGGCCCCTAGGAGCCTGTGGAGGAGGCCCTGTGAGCTGGGGCACGGGGCTGGGGGTGGGGGAGAACAGCCTGGAGGAGGGCAAACGTGGGCCTCCTCTAGGGAGATCCTTGGCTTCTGTGCTGCCACCTCAGGCCCTCAGGGCCAGCCTGATCTGTGCCACACTAGACCTTCCACTGTGGTGAAGAAACTGCTAGAAAACGGTGGCCTAGGGGGTGCATGTGGCACATGCTGTGTGTATAGTGTGCATGCTCAGTGTGCATGTTGCATATGCACGTGTGACACGTCTGTGTGTGGTACATGGGTGTGCAGTGAGGGGTATGTGTGCTGTGAGGTGTGTGTGTGTGTGTGTGTGCCCACATCACCTCCCCTTTCTCTGTTGGGCTTTACCTCAGCCCTAGGAGCAGAGAGAAGAGCAAGCGAGGTGCCACGTGTGAGCATCGATGCCCGCAGCTGGGCTCCTGCAGCCTCTCTGGCTATCCCCTCATCTCTGCAGACATCACTAGCTGCTGTGTGAGTGAGAGGGCCCCGTGACCCTGGGCACAGGCCTCCCTTCCAGCAGCTCAGCCAATCCTCACACCCGTCTCCGCTTCTGAAGAGGACGCTGCCCTGGGCTCCTCCCTGCAGGTGAGTTGCCCGGGCACAGCCAGCTAAGACACAGACAAGGTGTCCAGGCAGCAGACGGGGTGCTCTGCCCGTTCCTCCCCTCCCTGCACTTAGTGGGTCTTTGGAGAGTGACCAGGGCCAGTCCTTACCTCTGGGCCTGCAATTTCTTCAAGTATTCGTACTTTCTGGCTTCATCTTCTCTGCCCTCAGCTCTGAATTCTGTCCCTTGGGTTCCATCCTCCTCTCACTTATTGTTCCTTTTTTACTGTTTTCCTTTTCTTCTTTCCCCTTCTCTCTTATCTCTTTCTTCTCTTGTCTCTCTCATCTGTTCCTGTAGTTACACTTCCGTGTTTCCTATGAGCCTCTCTCCGTCAGTGTCTCTGTCTCTGCCCCTCCCATCTCTGAGTCTCTCCCTTCCCCTGCACCTGGCCCCACCCTTCCCTCCCTCTGTCCCTACATGTGGGTCTCCTCCTCTGCCCCTGCAGCTTTGCCTTTCCTTTATCTTTCTGCCTCCCGCCTGCCACCACCCATTCATTTTCTCCATCCTCTCCCAGGAAGATGCTACCAGCCTATTCATCCTGGCACAGTCAGGACTCGGGAGGGAGCCAGCAAGTTTCCTGATGAGTGATTTCCCTCCCCGCTGAGTCACAGGGCTGTCAGAGATGGTCTGCAAAGCCTGGCTGTCTGCTCTCTGTCCACCCTCCCAGCTTCTCCGGACCCTTGTCCCGCTGAGCCTAGCAGGGGCTCAGAGCGTGGACAGCAGGGCAGGTGGGAGACTCGATTTCCTTCTCCCCCCACCCCCCAGCAGTCTCCCTTCACACGGTCACTTTGATTTTCCCTTAATCCTTCACTCCGAGCTCCCTCAACCACCCCTTGGAACCATTGCCTGTTTCCTGCCATGACTCGGGTGGATCCCAGTATCTCTCTCCAGTTCAGCTCTTTGCCATCCTGTTCCCCTCTTTTCTCTGCCCTTGGCTCCAAATCTCTGCTCAGACTGTCCTACAGCACTGGGTCCTGATCTGCTCTTGGCTGGCTCTGCCACAAACCGGCCTCCTGCAGGGTGGGTCCAGGACTGCTGCAACAGAAATTTGACAGTCCAGAGTGGTCTAGAGGAGAGAGATCACAGACTTCTGCCAGCAGGTGGGGAGGGGGGCATGCAGCCTGCTCCAGTGCTTCAGAGAGTCAACTCTGGGCCCACAGGTACCCCCAGCAGCCTCGGCCAGAGCTCCTGGCAGGGGGGTGTCCCCAACAACTGTATGCTGTCACACTCCGGCACCAGCGATTCCGCTGCAACGCCATCCCGCTTGCCCCAGCTCACGGATGGGAGAGCGCCCCTGCTCCTGGCGCCCGTTCAAGCTGCCTGGTGAACTAAATTGATTTTTTATCGTTGCTCTGGAGTGAGCTTAATGAATCTGTTAGTGACGGCTGCCTGCCCCAAACGCCTCTTGGTGCCTGCGCCACCAGAACAACTCTTCGCAAGAAGGTGGAGGCATTATTTAAGGCTCAGCCCTGGGCTCCTGAGAGCAGCTGGGCATCAGCTGGGCCGAGCTACCCTCTTCCTGAGAGGTTTCTTGTGCTGGCACAGGGCTGGAATGGGGGTCAGGAACAGAAAGGCAATGCCAGGAAAAAATAAGGAAAGAGGTTTAATTGTGTGTGTTTCTAGGGTCTCGAATTTCATCTGTCCACCCGTTTACCTGTCTACTCATTCATCCATCCATCCATCCATCCACCCATCCATCTATCTGTCCATCCATCCATCAGTCCACTTATTCACTGGCTTATTTACCTATATACCCCAAAGCCCACTCACCCACCCATCAATCTACCCATCTGTCTGTCTGTACACTTATTCATCCATCCATCCACCCTTCCTACCATCCATCCACCCTTCCTACCATCCATCCACCCTTCCTACCATCCATCCACCCTTCCTATCCATCCATCCACCCACCTATCCATTCAGCCCTCCACCTGCTCATCTGACTGTTTATCTTCGATCAGCTGTACACTCATGCATCCACACATGCTCGCATCTCTCCATCTCAGCAGTGCTTCATTTATGTATTCATGCTTTGAGTTTATATATAACTTTCTGTGAACTCTAGTATGATCCCTAGGGCCTCTGGGCCCCGTCTGTCTCTCTCTCCACTCTCCCCATCCCAGTCCTCTTTATTACTCTGGCATTGGGGACTCCCAGGCTTTTTGCAGCTGTGTCCCCTCTGCCAGAAATGCTCTTTCTCCCTGCACCCCTATGACTTGCTTCCTTCCTTCACTAGGTCTGTACTCAAATTTTATCACTTCCAAAGACATCCTCTGACTACTTTTGATGCATATTAATAACTCCCTGTCACTATCCTTTATTCCCCTTCTAGTGTTTTTTGGAACCATCCTTGCCCTCTGACATTATATACTCAATTTTTCTTGTTTTGTCTGTTATCTTCTACTAGAATGGTATTTCATAGTGGTCAGAGCTGAGCCAATCCTATCCACTGCTACACCGAAGACCCTGAAACCAAGCCTAGCATATAGTTGGTACCCTGTGAGTTTGATTGAACAGATTACTTAGATAATACATGAGCCGTACCTTCTCCTACTTAGTATCAGTCACAGTCCTTTCTATCACAGGACACCAGGCCCCTGGGGACACAGGATGAAAAGGGAGAGCACAAGACCAGAACCCAATAGCCACAGGGATGGTTGTACAATTTCCTGTGGATTGAGAACCTTCAAGAAGGCCGCTTGGGCTTTAAACGTATTGAAGATGTCTGAGCTGTGTATGTGCTGCTCTGTTGGCTGCATCACCCTCACAGATCCTGGCTCAACTCTTGGCTGTCCACCTCAAGGCCTCCTGCTCCTCTTCCGGAGTACTCCCTGATCCCTACACCTTCCCTGACCATGAGAGACAGCAGGGTGAGCTGCCCTGGCTCTCTGAGCAGTGCCGGGGCTTGGTTCAGTGTTTAGAGCTCCTTGAGATCACTGTTTAGCCTTCTCTGCTTTCACTAAAGTAGCTCTGCCTGGGGGAGAACGTGGACAAGCAAACCAAGGGCTCCTCCTGCATTTGATAACCCTTTGAGTCCTGGAACATATGCCCCTGGATGCCCTGAAGGGGAAGAGAAGAGAACATACCTTTGGGGACATGGGTACAGAAAGAAAACTGCAAGACCAAAATGGGGCTGGAGACTGGGTGGTGGGAAAGCTATGTGGATATCTTGGGGAGGTGACTGGACCTTAGAAGGGACTGGCTCCTCCTACAGGGACTCCCTGATGCCCCCTTCCAAGATCCCCCTGCCTGCAACTTGGACACTGTTGAATGAGTCACATCCATGTGACTCGTGACTGCTGCTGGTGGTATTTCTCCAGACAGCCGCAGCAGTATCGTCAGTCCTGTGTGATCCCCCAGTGTCTACCACATGGCATCAAGAGGCAGAGTCCATTCCTCCGCCCCTCGGACCCGAGGGGGCTTGTGATCACTCTGACCAAAACAGTACGTTCATACTGTGACTTCAACAATGGGTCATAAAAAGAATGTGGCTTCACCTGACCCATTCCAGTGTTTATTAGACTTGGAAGCAGCCACTACATTGTAGGAAACTCAGGATCCTTAGAAAAGCTGTGGTCTAGGCCCCAGCTTATGACCCATCCATACTGTAAATAAATGAGTGAGATTTCAGAGGACTCCAGCTTCCGGCTTCCAAAGCTTCCAGCTGAAATCCTACACAAAGTGCGGGGCCAGACCAGCTCTGCTGTGGCCTGTCTGAATCTGAGCTCCAGAATTCAGGCACATAACAAATGGTTGTAGTTGCTTTACAACACTGAGTCTTAGAGTAACTTTCTTACAGAACCAGAGTAACTGTGGCAATAGTCACACGTAATGTAACAAAATGCCATCTGGGTCCTGGAAACTTACACTACTTCAAAATTCATTCATTTAATGTTCAGAATTTGCCTCAGAAGTCTTATTAATATCCTTATTTACAGGTAAGGAAGAGAGACTCAGAGAGAAGTAACCTGCCCAGGACCACACAGTAAATAGCAAAAGTAGGATTTGTATGAAGTTTCCTGGCTCAGAGCTCACACACTAACCCCCAGGCAGCCCAGCCTATGGCAATTTGCATCCTGATGGTTGTAGGAAAACATAAAGTCAGTCACTGACGCCCCAGCTCAGACTTTAGATATGTGACTTTGGGGTGTCACTGTCCCTTGAGATAAAAATTGGTGGTGGTGCCCACTGTATAACATGGGATCCCAATGTTGGATTCAAGTTGAAAAAACGATAGATAGATGGAGAGAGAGAGAGAGAGAGAGAGAGAGAGAGAGAGAGAGAGAGAGAGATAATAGATGATAGATGAGATAGGCAGGACAGATGGGTAGATGGACGGGGAATGGATGAAAACATGGGTAATTGAGTAAGTGAGTCGGTGGATGGGTGGAGGAATAGGTAAATGGTTAGAGATAGATTTATGTATGTATAGATGAATGGATAGAGTAAATAGATATGATGATGGATAGATGGGTGGATGACTGGGTAAACGGATGGATGGATGAATAGATGGGTAGGTGGATAAATGGAGAGATATACAGACAGACAATGGTAGGATTTTTTTTTTCTGCCTATTTGACGAACACCTGCTTTGTAGGCTCTGAGACAGATAAATTCAAAATGGTTCCAACTTTCACCAACCCTTGCAAAGCCTAAGGGCCCTCATCTGTGTGGTCGGTAGAATCCTACCCACCTCGAAGGCTCTGATGGATCCATCAAGATAGCTCAGTGTTGTGCCAGGCCTCACCAATGCCAACCTCAAACTCAGCCTCCATCCTCTTGTCCTTGTCCCTTCCTTGTGCTTTCCAGCCTCTCTCCTCCCTGTTCCCAGACGGCCTGTGGCTCCCAGAGCAGTCTCCTCCAGCGGGGAGCCCCTACACACACCTCTGAAAGCTATGGTCATAAGGATATGTCTCCCTTTGCTGTGTGATGCCACGTTGGCTGGCAGCCTGTGGCGCCTAGCACAGCTGCCAGGCCGGCACGGCTCCTTCCTCACAGCTGCCGGGATGCGACCTTGTCTATCAGGAGGCCCCGGGAAGCCTGCTGTGTATGCTCCCAACTTGGTAAGTGACATAAATATTTTCCAACATGCAGGCAGCACTGTGATTGGTGCCATCCTTCCCCTGAGTGCTGAGCTCCAGACTTGGGGTTACAGAGATAGAAAGAAAAGAAAAAATTCTTTTTGCCAGTGAATACTGGTTCTTTTCTCCAGGGAAGAATTTAACTCTTCCTGTCCCTGGTCCCCTTCTTTGCTCCAACATCCAACTCAAATGGCTGACATTCGGCAGGGTTTTGGCAAATGCTGGTGGTGACCAGGCAGTCCTGGCCCCTGTCCTCATAGAGC